AGTGATTTTGCTTGATATTTTTTTACCCTGTACCAAGTTTCAACGCTCTACCATAAATGGTATTGAAAATATTTAGAAAAATGTGTTAAAACTTCTGAACTTTGATGGCCCAAATCTTGACCATTTGAAGACTTTTATAATAATTTTTTTTCACGAATCGTCATCATTTTTGTTGTAGTATATGAGGTTAATTTTAAGCCCCGAGTCACCCTGTATAGTGAACTGTATTATACTTTTAAGGAATTGGAGTTTTGTGCTTATTACTACGTAGGTTTGTTTACCGAAAGCGATTGAAGGAATTGCAGGAAGAATTTGGATTACACTACACCTTCTTAAGTAAATTATTAAATGAGATAATAGAGCTCATATATGGCAAATGGGGCACACTTTTACTTAACATATCTGAAAATACATGGTTTACGTTAAATTATCAGAAGGAATTGGCCAGAATGGTACATGCTAAGGGCGCTCCTTTAACAAACTGCATTGGATTTATTGATGGAACTGCTCGAGCAATATGTAGACCCACAATAAATCAAAAAGAGATGTATAGTGGACATAAACGTCTCCATTGCATGAAATTTCAATGTATTACATTGCCAAATGGGATTGTTATCCATATGAGCATGCCATATCCAGGTCGAAGGCATGATGCTTTCATTTTGAAGGATACCCTTGTACTAGATCAATTACAGCTATACTGTAATCCATATTGTATTTATGGTGATGAAGGGTACCCTTTAAAGAAACAATTAATACGGCCCTATTCTAGCACTACATTGTCAGAAATGCAAATCAGGTTCAATCGAGAAATGTCCAAAGTTCGGCAATGTGTGGAATGGAGCTTCGGAAAACTTGTGCAACAATTTGCCTATCTAGATTTCAAAAAAAATCAGAAATTGTATTTACAACCTGTTGGAAAGTACTATCTTGTTGCAGCACTTTTAACGAATGCCCATACATGCTTGTATGGCAGTGTAACTTCGACTTATTTTGATGTAGAACCTCCGTCATTATTGGAATACTTTCTACAGTAAATAACTGTTATAAGTGTCATACTGTGCCGGAACACAGTTCTGTGGATGAATATAAAGAAGTTTCCGGACTTTCTTATTTGGCCACCTGGTACATGAAGCTTGTGGAAATCTATTGGTTATTAAATGAAGACATAACCACAATCGATTTCTAGATGAAACCTTTCAGTATCTTAAAAATCACTTCCACAGTAAATTATATAACTACCCTGTACATAAAAGATGTGTTGATCGAATAATTAATAAAGTTTACACAACTTATGTATGCCAACTTATTTATTTATCTACTAATAACTATTTGATAAACCATGTTATTTATTCTTATTTATTAGAGTTTGTAATAAGCTTATTAGTAAATTATTTTTTTCTATTTCGGCGTCTTTCTGCCGGGCTTCTTTCTCCTACCTAACTTTTTCGAATTCTAGTTTAGCCTTTTTAAATCGAAGGCTTTCTTCTTGTAAGTGCACTTGGTCAGCATGTTGCTGCTGCTGTTGCTTTTTCGGCCAAATATACATATACACTAGGAATAACTTCTTTCTTTTTCCTTTTCTTAGTGATACCTAGAGAAGAAGTAGGACTATTCTTTTCAGAACATTCCAAAGTAAAAGAAGTATTACTGTATTCTCCATCATTAATTTCTTCTTCATCTAATGAACAGCTCTCATTCGTTCCCATTGCTGCATCTCGTATTTTCTTAGCCAGCTCCATGTCTCTCTGTTGCGAAGCAGATTCTTTTTTTGATTTGGGACCTTTATTAGCACTATCTGCTAATTTCTGATAGTTATCCCACACGGTTATCAGGTCTTTCATGCAGTCACCCCATGGCGTTCTTTCCCAGATTCTGTCGCCTCCTGAGAATCGTTCTTGCGAAACTTTGCAGAAAACTCGTTTTTTATGTTGTTAATGAATTGTTTATTTATTATATTTTTTGTTAACTACAGCATAACAACTGTAACAACCTTATCACTAGATTATACAGGCTGTTTCTGTAACTTGTGGCATAATTGTAATCACAAATACTAGAGTTAAAATGATGACGATTCGTGTAAAAATTTTTGATCTAAACCCATAAATGCTTAAGATATGAAATTTCAAAGTTATAAAATTTTTAAATATTTTCAATATGGTTTGCCTTCGAAAGATAAGATTTGCCAAATAATGCAATGTTATCTTGAGAAATCGTTTAAGATCACTTTTGAAAATATCCCACGGGATCAATGTTTTGAAAAGAGTGTTTTGCAATACTAGAAGCGGAAATATCTTTAATAGGGTAAGCTTCAGGGCATCGATCGATAACAATCAAGATATAAAAACAATCGTCAGTTGGGGGTAATGGACCTACGAGACCAATGTGTATATATTCAAAACGTCCTGCTGGTATAGCAAATTTATAGAATGTTCTTATTCTAAAATTTCGAAAAGTTAACGTGCCATAGTAAAGTGACCAAACATTCTAGACAGCCGTTCTCGGCACTAAAACATACTCCATCATGTTGCTTAAGCATGTTCTGAATCCTAAATTGATATCTCAAAAATCGAGTGTTCTCTGATTATTTGAACAAACGTCTGCTGGAGCAGATTTTTCTAGAAAACTTCGATTAACTCGAGAACGGCCGAATCAAATTGCAAAAAGTAATGTTATTCATAAACCTTGAAAACAGACAAATCCAAATATGTAAAAATAAACAGGGTGTTCCATTCAAAAAAAGAAAGTAGGTGGCGACTTCCGGTATAACCGGAAGTGGTAGGAATCTAAAAATATTTTAGTCGAAGAGAACGCAATTGATAATACTTAAATCTGAATTCTAAAATTTTTATTTTGGCCAAAACTCCAGAAACGTCTAATGACCTATCTCGCTGAAATACCCTGTATACGGGGTGAAGTTGTTGAAATTTCACACTAAAGCGTATGCTTTAAATTTGAAATTTTTTTTTGTTGATTTAAATTTTTTAGAATTGTTAGTAAATTGCTTGTTTAAGAGATAATCAAGTTCCAGCTCATTATTTTGAGCGATTTTAATGTCTAAAATGTTAGGATATGAACTTTTTAGTGAGTTAATATCTATACGAGAAAGAGTATAAGCAACAATGTTTATATCTCCTTTGATGAATCTAATATTTGAGCAATGTAATCAAGGTAACAACATTGTCGAAGAGTTTTGATGATTTTCTTGAGATCTGTATAAATCTGTACCTGAGAGCTGAAGGGACATAAGTCCAAAATGACTTAATCGTAGAATAGCCGAAAATGTCTAATTTTTAACTTCAAATAATAATAAATTGAAATAATTAATAATTCTCATGCTTTTACCTCACAAATAAAGCTCGAAAATATCGGTATTTTTTAATATTAATAGTCTGTAAATATTCATTAATAGTATATTTTTATCAAAAATCTTTATTTTTACAAAATTATTACTTACATCTTGGCTCTAAAAAATTAAATGATTATTTGGACTTAAAACATAACAACTTGTAACAATATGAACTAGAAAAAATAAGTAAACTTATTATATTTTTTCTAGAACAAATTTGAAACTTTAAAACCTATTAATTTATTATTATTAATCATCATTAGGAAATTCTGGGGCCTCTTTAACATAAGGTAAATTCCTAAAGTAATCCTGATATTCTTCAGGAAGCCACTTAAGGAGGGTTAAAAGATTTTCATATTTGGCTTTACTTATAGGTTTTCTAAAATGTCTTAATTGGTGCAAATTTTTCGGTATGTTTGAAGGTTTTCGAAGGTTTCTATTTAAATTAATGGAGCGAAAGTCTTCTTTAAATGATGTTTTAAAAAACAAAGTACCTAATGTTTCTCGTCGAATTTGGAACCAAATAACGCTCTATAATTTAAACTGTTTTCCTTCATTACTTTTTTTTTTGATATGAAATGCTGTTAATGATGAGTAAAATGTATTAAATTTTTTAAAATCTTCTAGACCCATAGAGAATACATTAATGGGAGTTGTTTACAATTACGAATAAAATTTATCCAATCAGTGTAAGTAAAAATTGTAAATAGTTTACTTTTCTTTTTTGCACGCTCAATAACGCTATGTTGGCAATGTACTGTGTAGAATATGTCAGTGCTTAATTTCTAAACTTTTAGGTGTGGGAACGCTCATTTACTCTTATAAACCACCCTCTCTATTTTCTAATAACTCACTCATTTATATATTTATTTTAATAATATTTAGATATATTGTACTTTTGACTTGATTTATTGTTTATTGCCGTTATGACAGCGCATTTTGTAATGAATTGTCAAATAAAAACAAATAAAGCCTTCTTTACATTTTTATTTATATTAGGTCTACAGTACAGTAGTAATAATACATATCAATACGTAAACAGATGTTTTTGATAATTTTCTAGAAAAACTAGTAAGTCTAAATGTTTAAAATCTATTTTTAATGTTACAGCTTGAATTGTGATTTTTTATATTTTCAAAATAATTATTTATACCTTCAAAATAAACCCACTTCTTGAAAAAGAAAGGAAATGTTTAATGACAACAGGTAGAAAAATAAAAAGTTGTTTGTTAATTTTTAAAAGTGGAAACTACAAAACAACAATAGAAGACTAATTGTAAATAATAAAAAAGAACAGAGAAAATTCTTTTTCACAATACAACTACAAGTAATGTTTTTGAAAACTTAGTGTTCTAAAAACCTAAAAGATATTAAAAGAGAACGAGTTTTAGGAAAAAAGTTCCCACAATGCAGTGCTGTCTTCATTGTACGTTTTCTGCCTTCGTTGTTTTGACTTGGTGTCAAGTGCGGAATGGTGTCCCTTCGCCAGCCAAGACTTGACGTGTCGCTTAGGATTGTATCTAGCCACAGGAGGTCCCAGGACCCTAATCCGCAATAAATCAGAAACAGTGCTGATGTAGAGTGAAGAGGAGACATAATTAAATTCATTGCAGAAAACCCACGTTCACATTCTGCACTAGACACTGCAATACTATTTAAACGACGGCGGCTGCTCAATAATAGTAGGTTTCTCTCCGCTTAACATAGGCTTCAGTCCCTGCTTGAAGTGTCTGAAGTCTCTAATTATATCCCGAGAGCTGCTAATCTTGAATTTATCACAGATTCGCTGGATCTCGTATTCTCCGTAGGTGATAGATAAGTCTTTTGGCCAATACATGGGGTGGATCACTTTGATGTCATTCATGATGGAGTTGTAGTTTTCAGACGCATTTGACGATGATAGCAACCTTGAAGTCAAGTTGTTAGCAAGGCTCCGGTAGAACTGTTTTTCTGGAATAATCGGAATCTTGGCTCTTTCACAAAGTTCAACATCTTGAAACTTCATATTGTCTATAGCAATTTTAGCTTCCACTGCACGTCTACCCATGTTATCAACTCGGTTTTCAAACACTTTTATTAACATTGTTACGTCACTGTGAGCTTGGATTAAGTTGAGGCTTGATTGCTGAAGCTGTAAGGATAAATCCGCTAACTCATCTAAAGCATCGTACATCAACACCAGGTTGTGTACAAAAGTTGTAGATGACAATGTACTACAAAGCCCTTTGTAAGACGAACGTTGTTTCAAGTCCCGTTGCTTCTCTTCAGATGCTTGTAAAAAATGATTGTACAAAGCTTTAAAATCTGTCCATACTGCTTTCACCGCCATTAAGCTGGAGGCTACCCAACGAGTATCTAAAACACGGCCGATTTTCAAAATCTGCTCCTCTAGTCCTTTAGCAACTTCTGCCAACTCCCTGCTATTTTTCGGAGAGCAACTAAACATGTTTCTAATTTTATCCATGAATATCTTGAAATGATTGATTCCAGCTACTTCTTCTACCGAATCGTGCACGGCAAGCTCTAAACGATGGTTTAAACAATGCCAAATGAACAGGTTGGGGAATGTTTCAGTAAGCTGCATAGCAAGGCCAGATTTTTTGCCTAGTAGCACTGATGCACCGTCACAAGTTAGAGCAATCATATGGTCTTTCATGAATTCAAAGCTTAGACCTAATGCTTGTAACTGATTAAAAAGTTCTTGTAAAATACCAGCTGATGTTGTGCTATTTAGCTCAAAAAGTGTTAAGAACATTGTCATAGGGTTTTGCATTCCTTTTAAAACAGTTCTGATATAAACCACCAAAGCATTTTTGTTCGAAACTGAAGTTGCCTCATCCAAAAGCAGTGAAAATTTAGAGTCTGACTTGATTAGGCCATTTATTAAGTCTGATTTCATTTCATCAGAAATATGATGAACTATGTTGGAGCAAGCAACATTTGAATGGAGTATTCGGCCCATATCCAAACCATTGATTATTTGAAGATCGATTTCTGTTTCAAACTCAAAAAACGGCCTATTTAGTTTGGCCTGCTTATAAGCCGTGCGGAAAATGCGCTCAGTAACAATCTGCTGTTCCTGATGCATAGAAGCAACAGCTTTTTTCATTTTATCTTTCTTTGCTTCATTGAGTATTTTTTCAGCTAAAGAGTGAGCTCGAGACCCACGGTGTAAAAACATCTTTTTCCTAAGAGAGGATTGTTGGTCTTTTTTATTGTTTCCAGAAGCGGTAACAGTTCCTAAAACCCACTCTTCACTAATTTTAAGGCCCTTTGTTTTCTCGGCACCTAGAGTACTGACGCTTCTGCAAATATTACAACCTAGTTCTTTGTTCACAATTAACCGTGGATTTTTTGCTTTAAATTCAATAATTTGTTCAAGAGACCAACAAACTGGGTGTTCATCCCCATTAACATAATCACTATCTTCATTACTAATCTTACCATCGTCTGAATCAGATCCTAATCCCACCAACCTGGATACTTCTTTGTCCGATGAGGAAGTTGAAGGGTAATCATCCTCCTTGATTCCGATTGCGTCTTCTTTTTGATCTAGATCAACAATTGGAGTCGTAGTCGATGCTTCCGAACTGCATTTCCCATTATTCACATTAACTTTTTGTTTCTTAGGGTTAGGTAAAGGTTTAAAGAAATCAAAAATTTTTCTGGTGTTCATAACTCGAGTAGTGAACTTTTGTAGCTGCACTAACAGTAGTAAGTATAAACAAATACGAACGCGTCAACGTAACCTATGCTGTGATCAGTGTTGCCACTTGCCACTGCCACTGTGATGTGTGTGCGGTGGCGCGGTGAAGGATTGGAGGGGTTAGGCGGAGGGTATTGTTTTGTTATTGGTATGACTGACCTCCCTCCCTGATTAGGTGCATCACAATCGCTTGTTAGGGCGCTTATTATCTGCTTACGAGCCGCTCGCGAGCAAAGCCTAAAATTGATTCTACCTACAATTTTTAAAATTTGTAGTTTTAGAGTTACGTGCGTTCCCTTGCGTTCGGGCACTCTTGGGAGGTAAGGGGACGCCGTTCTCGTGCGTTCCCACTGAAATTAACCACTGGAATATGTAGAGTATATGTGGAGAATATGAATATGGCTTCCTAATAAAAATTTATGATTTATAACCTGAATGCTGGGAAATACTTGCATTAAATACATGTACATTACAATCATCATCATATTTCGGTTTTGTCCGGTACAATTGTCTGTTCAAAGTGTTAATGTTTCCATTTTTTGATTCCTTGGGATTTCTATAAGTAGCCATTTAATTTAGGGTCCACAACTTTCGAAGATAAAAGCTCTCCGAATTGGTCAAAAAAGGTAAAGGAGTAGGAAGGCACTTTTGAAGATCGGCCATTACCACTTGTAAATTTTCATTACTTTCTAAAGCACATTTCTTGTCTTCATTTTTGATTTGATATCTATTATTTGCATCACTTAAATGTAAATCTCGCTCTTTAGAAATAGCTTGTTTTTCTTCTGTGCAAAGATCAGCCTTAAGCTTTACATTAAAATAATCACGTGTCGTTGTCTGGAACGTTGAATGGAACGACAAATTAAACATTTCGTTGAAGATTTTTCTAAAAAACCATTTCTTAGCTGGTTTTTCACCTTCCTTCCTAAGTTCTTCGCAATTTAACCCATACATTTTTGAAATATTTAAGTCATCTCCAAGATACTTATCAGCAGACCTTTCTCGAGAATGATGGCTTTCATACGTAGGGTAGCTGTCAATGTGCTTAGTGATTTTTTTACTAACTTCATCAGAAATTTTATTGATTGGGACTTTTCTACCTCTTTGATCAGGTGCTGAAATATTATATGTAACTTCTTTTTTAGAGCGTTATAAACAATTTTTTCACTGATCGATAAAGTGTTTATAAAAAATAATTTACAGATTCTGATGTTTTTGTTTTCAATGAAGAAATTATATAGATTTTGTTGTGTACGCACTTTTGTAGAAAGAGGGTCTCTTGGTCTACGTCGTTTTACATCTTTAGTAAACACGCAAGAATTAATGAACTGCCTCTTGCACTCCCAAGAAAGAATTTTTTTCCAAAAATCATTATGAATCTGCTGGCGTTGGACTTTTTAGTTTTTTATTTAGTATGAGTTTGTTTTTAGTAGACAAATATAATTGACCTCGTTGTCTCCTAACTTTTCGTATATTTTTCTTCCAATTATCTTCATTCCTCACTCGTTTTATACACTTTAATGTAGATTTTATGGTTAAATCACTTTCTGTATCTGAGTCAGATGAGGAATATGACACTAATTTGATAAACGTTGCTTCATCATTAGTTTCCATGTTTATCAGAGTAAAATGATTAGAAGACAGAAATAAATTTTTCACTTAATATGTCAATAACTTTTCAATTGTTTTTCAAAGCACACTACACACCCAATATTGATGTGTAGATTAATTTTGGACTTACGACTATTTTGCACTGAAAACGAAAGGACCTATTTCTTTATAATCGAAACATTTTTCCTCGTAATAAAGTTTGTTTAAATAATAATGTTACTAAAAATAAAGACTGGGTTTTATAGCATTCTTATTTGAGCATTAGTTCATTTTTGTTAAAACTGGACTTACACCCCTTTAGCGCTCAGGTACAGAAATAATAAATTGGTTATCTTCTAAAAAATGCCTGAGGAGACAAATTTTTTGGAAAAATATGCTATAGGTTGAGAAATATTATTAATTTCTTGGGATACAACAGCTCCCATGGAATAATTCGATGCATCTGTTGTTAAAGTTAATTGGCCAGACTTACAAGGGGGAGCTGCCCGATTTCTATGTTCATTAGATTTGATATTCCAAAGAATTGAATTTTCTTCATACACTTCAATTAATTCAAATATTTTTTTCTTGGAACCATTTTCTTTTAGGTGTTATCTTTAAACGTATTATATTGAAAAAACTCGTAGCAAAATTCGAACCGTGTTCGTGTTTTGACGATAGATAAATTATGCGTGTCCACTTAAGTACAAATCTCAACGTGTTTACTCTCCGAAAGTTTGTGGGGTCTCTGATAGTTACTCTCAGATGCGTATCCACCAGAAAATATACTCTCGATAGCTTCTCTCGAGAGCATTTCTCGCAAGTGGACACTTAGCTTTATTCTCATTGGCCAACATGATCCTAACTCTAAAACGCCAAGCGCTATCAGACAACAACTTTGAAATGTTAACATTATTGAATGCTAACAAACATTTATTAGACTTTAATTTATTATGATATCACGTAAATAGTAAAATATACAATATCAGAAAATAGTGAAGTATTTAAATTTAAATTTGTTGAGAAGTACTCGTAAAAAGTATCCGATACCCGAATAGTATTAAAGTACCCGTACCCGTTACCCGGGTACTTTCATTCAGTACCCGTGCCCACCTTTGCTCTCAGGAAAGTTATTGTTATTTTAATCTATAAAGAATACGTTACAGAGCGTCCTCTACTGACTATAGTAAAACGGATTCCATAATTGTCTTTCTCATGCCAAAAAAACCCCGTATATCAAATTTGAATAGAATCGGTTGAAATATACGAGCAATATTAAAAAAAATTATAAAAAATATTAAAAATTTAATTTGAACATCCTGTACACTAGGGTCTCGATTTCCGTCGGGGTTACGTTCCGGTAAAGTGCGACGCAAATCAAATCACATTATTCCATAAGACACCATACATATAAATTTATTAGATTCGTTAGGGCGACGTTGTAAGCACTGTGTGAAATGCGCACACACATGCAAATATTATACAAAATCATTGCTGGGATCAATGTTAGGTAGTATTTTAATAAACAATTCAATAATAAAAATATTTATAATGTATTATGTACTATAAAAAACATTATGAATAGTAAAAAATAATACAAACATTGTAATAACAAAATAAACTTATAATTCCTAACAATCAAAATATGTAATAAGATTTTTATCTACGACTGCTTGGTTAAGTCATCATTACCGCACTCATTAGCCTACTTGTAATATAAATAACTATTACGTTTTTAAACAATCATCCAAAGTTTGCTGTCTTGCATTCATTTTACGTGTAGTGTACAGGTCCTTGTAGCTCTGAACATCTTTGGCGACAGCATTCATTAGAGTTCTGCTCCGATTTTCTTGTCATGGTTAATAGAAATCTCGACAGCTTTGTCGATTAATGAAAACGCTTCTGCTAATTTTTGATTTGTAATTTCTGTAATGTCTTCTGTACCTGAATGCTCAGTAGCATCTTCAGTTGCAGCAGTAAAATTTTGTAGTAAGTCATCGCATGTAATTTCTTCTTCATGATTCTTGATTTAAAATTATGTCTTCAATGTCGTTTACCTCCATCCCTTCAAAATGTACCTCTTCTGCGTATTGACCGAAATTATTGACGATCCCTTCGATGTCATCAGTGCCTGATCCTTCGGCATCTTCAGTAGATTTTAGCCACAGTTTTGTCCAAACCCCTTTTGTTTGGACAACTTTGTTTGACTTCTATCCAAGATTCTCCAGAGGAGGATGGCTGGAAGCGTTGTCTAGTAGAATTAAAATTTTAAAATCAAGATTTTCTTTCAAGCAATAGTTTTTAAGTTCGGGCACAGCAATATCGTTTACCCACTCTCGGACCAGAGTTGCTGTCATCCATCCTTTCTTGTTCCATCTCTAATGAACTAGTTGCTCTTGGATTTTGAGTAGTATTAATTAACAAAGGCTCGAGTCGGTGATCGCCTTTAATGCTACATTGTGCAGTTTAGCTCTTGATTTAAATTTTTGAAACCAACCTCGACTTGCGTGAAAAGTTTCGTCTTTATGAACATGTTCGGGTTTTGACTTTAATTCTTCAAATATGGATAAAGCTTTTTCTTGTATGTTGGTCCTACTTAGTGGTACTTTACGTTGATTTTGTTCCTCTATCCACGTAGAGAGGAGAGATTCCATTAACATAATTAAAGAACTTTTGCCTTTTACAATTTGCTGTGCCATAAATGAGTTTGTATGTTTTGCAGCTTCTCTGATTTTTTCTGCGTCACGATTACATATGGATCTAATGGTAGTGACGGGTAATGACGGAAGAATTCTTGCAATATCTACGGCTTTTTCCCCGGCATCAAACCGACGTAATATTTCTAATTTTTTACCTAGAGATATTGTACTCTTAGTTTTCTTTACGATTTTTCCACTCATTTTGATCTATAAATAAGAAATACGTACACGTGACATAATCTATATGAACATAATCTACATAAACGCAAGATTACATAATTATTCAATGTAATTCTGACTCCAATAATCATCAATAATATATTAACTTACCTCAATGTGTTTTGGCAATTTGACAGTTTCACTATCGCTAAGACCACCGTTTCAAGAAAGACTACCGCTATCATGCATGAAAACGAATGCACACGACTCCACGCAGTGAATGCGAGTGAATGCCCGTTTTATTTCATCTGTAGCGACGCATATCGAATCATAACAACGCAAATCTCAGATACAGTCCACAGTGTACAGTGTATCTCCAAAACAAAGCATTTGTCGACCTATGTTTATATCAAGTGTTTGCGTTAATTTTAAAAGATTTATCGACTGTTAAAATCCTGCTACAAAAGCCTGAAACACCCTGTGTAATCAAGCTCTACATTTCTCCTAATTTATAGAAGGGGGGATTTTTAGGGCGACTCAAACAACATTTTATTACAAGTAGGTGTTGTGTTTATAAGCGAATCAAAAACAAATAAACATATAATCGCCTTATGACTTCGAAATGAAGCACAAATGACAGTAGACTAAGTAGGCGTGGTATATATAAGAATTCCCCCTCTCCACCCCCACCACCAAGGGTACAAAATCGTCGACTGTTTCGTTCAGAACCGCCTTCGACCGACAACTGTTTCTACTTGTAGTAAAACTTCAACTTGATGCAAGTTCGGATCTCAATTATAAACAGTTTATTTTTTTTTGAATATTTGTATTAATAAAGTTTTTTTTAATGAATTTATGGTAAGTAAATAATTTTGTTTATAACCTCACCTTTCAAATTTTCCCGTTTTAATTGGTAATTTGATGAAGTTAACTTTTTTAAGGTGAAATTTAAAAACATAAAAATGTATGATTTTTTTAAACATTTGAATGAATTCGAACTGAATTCTAAACACGATGAGTTTCTTTGGCAAACATTTCTTTTTAATTGCCCGAACAAAATTGTTATCTAAAAAGTAAAAAATAAAAAATTGTTGTACAAGAAGATAAATTACAATTACCATTGATGATGGAACGAGGCAGGAATCGCAAATTGGTCGCCCATAAAATACCCATCATAATTACTGGGTGTTTTGCATATAAAGTAGGCAAGTTCGACGCCGGTGTACTTCGATTTTCTCTTTTTTTTTTATTGTAAAGAAAAAATACAAAAAGCGAAACAAAACATTTTAAACCGGAGCTTAATGTCTTTATTTATTAAAGTGACCGGAAGTGTCGAATTCGATCGATAAATATTTATACCTAAGTTAACTAAACCTAAATTTCATCAATTTTAAACTACAATTTCACCTTAAAAAAATTAAATAAGAAAATAAACGAATGAAACTCGATATCGAGTTTGTTAAGAACTAATTTGATTCGATTAATATCGGATATTGCAGTAAACCTTAATTTTTAATCAAAATGAGGTTATAAAAAAGTTATTTGCTTATTTTTTTGATCAATTTATTTTTGAGTTAATAATTTTAAAACTGTTTTTAGGTTTATTGTTTCCAATTTTTCGATTTGGAACTTGATGAGATTTTTGTTTTCCATTTTTTTACGACCAATTTTTTTTGGAAAATTGTTATTGGTTTTATGACTTTTCCGAGTTCAATTAATTTTTAGTTCGATTCGATTTCAACGTTTCAATTAAAATTTTAACGTATTCACCCCAAAATTTCCTGTTTTCCAGACAATAATAATTATTTAAAATCGATTCGTGTCGACAAAAAGGTCAAAAAGTTGATAAGTTAACCAACAAAAAAATTGCAATTAAAAATTCTTTTCTGGTTTGATTGAAAAAGTTAATTGAAATTCATTAAGCCAATCAAAATTATAAAGATATAAATAAAAAGAAGTTCCATTTTTCAAACATACATGAAAAGTTTTCTCGTTTCGAATTCAGTTCGAACTCGTTCAAATTTTTAAAAAATTTTGCTCGTCGCGTCGACGATCCAGTTTATTTTGGTCGAAACGAGATGATTGATCGACCAGAAACCGCCTCGGAATATTTATTACACCATCATCCGGGAGTTGAAACTTGAATTTTGAACAAGATGATTTTCAGGAATATTGTGGAAACTTAAAAAATGTTTTGGTAGCTTATTTCGGCATTTACTCTATAAAATATTATGGAACAACCGTGTATTATTATTTTATTATTATTATTAGAGCTCGGATTTTTATGCAGTTAAATTATAGAAAATATGCGCATAAATATGCAAGATTTTTATTCGAAATATGCAAAAATATACCTTTCTTATAGTTGTTATCAATCTAAACAAAAACAATTAATAAGCATTTTTTAATAAGTATAATATATTCATATAATAAATAAAATAAATGTAGTACAATATTTATACGCATTCAATATAATAGCAGATCAACAAACGAAATAAAACGAATGGAAATTATTATTATTATTAATTATTTTTATTAGTAACAGAGTGTCATGGTATAACTAAATGTTTTTCTAAATTTTCTACAGTAAAGCTTTGACGGTTCTTTCTACATCAACGGATGTAATTGGCATAAATTTCAATGCTGATATTTGTTCAACGCTTAAATCAACGCTATAATTTTTATCGGGATTATTTAATAGAATCTTAGATATAGCAACCTCCCAGCAACAAACTTTTACCCGTAATTTCCTATCTACTTTCTTAACTGATATTTTCCTTATTATTAGAGATAGTGAAAAACTAAACGCACCACTTGAAAGCTTGAATCTTTCTCTATCTAAAACCGAGTTTTCTTATCCTGCCGATAAGTTGATATTAAGATCAATAAAAAATGAAGAACACCTCGCTGTACTTAAAATAGCCCAAAATTACCAAACTTCAAGGCCTTGTACAATTGTTATGAAACCGAATTTTAAACAACTGTTATCACAGTCAAAAAGAGCGCTCCTTCAGCTATTTTAATCCGGGTTTTCGTCGGTCAATAACTATCGGCGTTATGCTTAAATCACCCATAATGTTCATCCCTACACGCAGAAACGCTTAAATACTCTTCCTCTAAAGGTGGGTTCATGCAAGGTGTTTTAGTTTTAGTCATAGTCATAGTCATAAGCGTTTGCTTTAGCTGTAGCTATAAGGAAAGAGATTGGTTCATGCAATATTTAAGCACAGTACATTAAAGGAGGATTTTGACATATAAACAGTAGTGCCACAACTCATGCCAAATTAAAAAAAAGGAAATCGGAAGTGAAACTGTTTTGTTTATAATGAACAAAAAGAAAATTGTTGTCGCTGCTTGAGTAATGTGCTTGAATGCAGCTCTATTAATCGCACAAAGATTAAGAAATAAAAGACGACGGCGTTTTGGCAGCAAACCAATCAATAAAATTAAAAAATTAGAGGGAAATTATGCCATTTTGATTAGAAACATGTTGGAGAAAGAGGAAGACGATTTGCAATTTTTGAAATATGTTCGCATGTCGTTCGAAGAGTTTAAGGAATTGTTAAGACTGGTTGAACCTTTTTTAGCAAAAACACCAAATAAAGGTGCAATTTCACCCGCTCAAAGGTTGATAGTAACCCTACAGTAAGATTTTGTTTAATTTTATATTATAAACAAATTTTAATTAAGTAATAAAATTATTGATACATTCTACAAAAAAAAAGCATATCCAACTGTATCGGGGCTGTTGATGGGAAACACATCCATATGCAAGCACCAAAAGCATCGGGAAGTGGGTTCTTCAATTATAAACATACCTTCAGCAATTTTAATGGCATGTGTAGATGCGAATTATGATTTCATTATAGCAGATATTGGAGCTAGTGGAAGAAATCATGACAGCTATCTTTAAAGAATCTTCTTTCGGGAGAGCTTTTTTAAATGGAAACATAGATATCCCTTTTCCAAAGAAATTGCCTGGAAACAACATTACACTTCCACATTTCGTTGTGGGTGATGCTGCGTTTTCTCTAATGGAAAATATAATGAGGGTACTTACCATCGTAATATCAGTCAACCTTCTGAGGGTGGCGACCAGCACGACATATCTAGCCTTCCTGACCCCCGGACCCACTATGTTAAGATTCCCTTCGTCCCCA